AGTTCAAATGCTTCAATCCAAATCTCTGAGACCTATCTGCTTGCTCCTGCTAGAAGGCCTTAACTTTCTCAAGTCCCTTTCAGCCCATCCTTGTGTTTTAATCATTCAGCCCATGTAATTCCCAGCCCTCCTGTTCCACTCATGTTTATTTGCCAGTCTAATGTACTTAACATTCTACCTATTCATTCATCTACATTCCCTGAATTCATCCTTCCTTGCTTTCCTGAATTCATCCATGAGAATGCTTTTTTGAAAGTGATTGCATAACCTATTCAAAACATAAACCTTTGCTCAGTTTTTGAATCTTTAATAAATCCTGCTGAATCATTATTTGACATACATCAAGAAAATGTTTGAATGATTTTTTTAAAAAACTTGTTCATGGCATGTAGGTGTTTCTGGCTACGCCAGCATTTATTACTCACCCCTGATTACCTTGTGAAGGCGGTAATGATCTGCAAAAGCGTAGGTACACCCACAGTGCTCTTAGGAAATAAGTTCCAGGATTTGAACCAGCGACAGTGAAAGTAGAGCAATATAGTTCTAATTCAGCATACTGTCTGGCCAGGGCAGGGAGGCAGGGATCATTCTTTGAGGTGTTGGAAGCTGTGGGTTTGGAAGGTGCTGTGAAGGGCTTTTGGTGAATTGTTGCAGCATCCATCTTAAAGAAGGTGCGCATTGCTGCCCCTGTAAAGATAAAGTCATCATAGTCCCAGAGAACTAGAGGGCTGCTATCTCATTAGAGAGAGACAGGTGGTGGTGAGTTTAAACAGAGGTTTTACTATGTCTAAGGTGAGGGGAGTTTGAGAATGTGAGACCTTTTATGCTGACCTCCGCCAACATAGAAATTGAACCTGCACTGTTGGTATTATTGTGCACAACAAACCAGCAAGCCACCCAACTGAGTTAGCTGACCCCCAATTCAGCCACTTTGCATAGTTGGGGAAGCAAGTGAATGTCGAAGGTGTTGCCAGTCAAGCAGATTGCTTTGTCCTGGATGTTGTGGAGCTTCTTGAGTTTTGTTGGAGTTGTACCCATCCAAACACATGTAAAAGTTTTCACTACACTTCTGATTCGTGCCTTGTAGATGGTGGCCAGGCACTGGAGAGTTATACCAATGTCCCATTGTGATCAAACTATTACACTATATATCAATATCTTTGATCAAAGAGGAGTCATATTGAATTCCAAATGTTAACTCTTTCTCTTCCCACAGATATTGTCAAATGTGCTGAGCTTCTCCAGCCTTTTGTTTATAGATGGGCTAAAATTGTTTTCTTTGGACAGAGCAGGTTGAAAGGAGATTTAGTTGAAGTATATAAAAATGTGCAAAATATTGAGGTCTACATGAAGTCAATAGGAAGGACCTATTTCCTTTAATAGAGAGAAGGGAACAATGTAATTGGTAGAAGAAGAGTTAGATTTTTTTGGCCTACACACCAAGATCTGGAAGGTGAGGTAGACTGAATAGCTCTTTTCAGTCAGCAAAGCCACCATGTGCCTTATGTGGTATAAATATTTCTTAATCACATAAGCTGCTGGGATATCTGAAACAGTCTAACCTTTAGTAGTAATGAATTTATATATTTACCAGACCTACTGTTGAATGTAAAAATTAGGCAGTTTTATTATTGAATTGTAATGTATAATTTGCATTTTGTGTGTAATCACTGAGAAACGTTTCTATTTATACAGAACAGTTCAACTGAGCATGGAATAACCAATATGTCTTTATTGATTATGATGCTTGGATCATACGAGTTTAAGAAAAAGACCAGTTGTTTCCTTCATCAAATCTCAATTTTGAATCTGTTTCACCATTGTTTCATTATCGACCAATATCTCATTTCTGCAGAGTTTTTGTCATGTGAATGATCACAAACTCAACTGTGTGCAATCACCTGGAAATTAAATCTTAATTATCCAAAACCATATGATTATTCATAGCTGTTGATAGTGGAATGTTGCCAAGTGCTGAGGCATTCCTCTCCCTTTAGCATTTTAAGATAACTGTGCTTGAAGTTAATAGATAAACAGGCCTAGTACAAGTTATACGATATGTGTTTAAATTTCGCCCAAAAAACAAATTAGCAAGATTGTCATGATAAATGGTAATTTTTGATTTATCTTCTGGGACTGTGGGTTCCAAGATAAAGACTTCAATTTTGCCTTTTAATACAGGTGTACAAATGATTACAAGATCAGCGCAAATATGCATGAATTGTTTGGAGTTAACACCTAAAAATCTATTCTAGTAATTTAAGTGCAGGCAGGTATGTACATAATAGTGGACTGAGTCAGCCCTTAAAGGGAGCACATTGCAGGAGTTGACATAATTTCCTCGCTCTCCTAATTTGAAGATCGAGGCAGTTGACAACTGTGAGAGCTTCAACTTGGCAGTACTCTTGGAGGTATCTATCTTAAGTTATGAGAACAGAAACTGTTGGATCAGGGTTTCCCAAAGTGGGGTCAGGATCCTAAGTGAAGTTGCAAGTTGAAATTTTGGGATCCAATGAAGCTCCAAACAATTTCTAACAACTTAGCTCCTTTACTAACAGGCTGTCTCTCTCGCAGCCTCCCTACCCTGCTCTTAAAGTTGTTACTGATGGGTCATGACCATTTTCAAGCCTGTATGTGGGATCACAGTGAGAAAGAGTTTGGGAAGCACTGTGTTAGGTCCTTGAAGGAAAGGAGTAAACCTCACTGGATGGGTCATATGGATCACATATTGGTGTTGTTATACCATTGGCACATTCTTTGAAGCTGAAAGACCCCTAACCTGCTGGCAGCCAATGCAAGCCCAAGTCATCAATGGAAGAATGTCACACAGCCTTCCCAATGTGCTTTCTTCTTTTCCACCTCCTCCAATTTTACTGTCACATCAGCCTCCAAACATGGCATTTGCAGGTCCCAGAAAAGTGGGTCTATAGCTACGAAAAATAAATCAGAGATGGCTGGAAATACATAGCTTATTATTGATTATCTCTGTATCTACTCTAACTGTTTAACATCAGGACATAAATGAGACTGTTGGTTTCTGTTTGGTTTCTAAAAAACGAACAGCATTCTTATAAGATGGCCATTTTTCAAGCCGTAGCAGCAAATTTGCTGCTGAGCAGTAGTTAATTTCCTTCAAAGTGATCTGAAAATATGATAATAACTAGTATATTTGCTTAAACATCAAAATCTAGTAATTTGTAAGTAAATTGTGAAAACTAATCCATAAATATACCAGTTATGTTGACAAAAATATATCTAGATTTGGCAAATTATAATATCTCATCTGAAAGTGCCTCAATAGATTATACCTTGAGCAAACATTGCCAGGTGCTCTAGTCAAAAATGTTGGCATTTATTGGTGTTTTGATAATTCTTAATCAAAGTAAATGTTCAGTGATTACATTTTAATATAGAGTATGAAAAGAAACTGGAATAATCATATTGAAATAAGTCAGTACCCGGTTTTGGGTCTGAGTTCTTTTGAAAAAAATTCTTTGATGGGATGCATGGCTGCCAAGGCTAGCATTAATTACCCATCCTAAATATTTTTGAATTATGTAGCTTACAAAGTCATTTGGAAGGCAGTTTAGTCAAGTACGTTGCCAGACCAGGTTAAGGAGATTATGAACCAGATGAGTGTTTACAACAATCAATGACATCATTATTGATGAATAGCTTCAATTACAGATTTTAATTATGGAATTTAAGTTCCACGTGCTGCAATGGTGGGAGTTGAACCCATGTACCTAGAGTATTCATTTCTAGAATACTAATCCAGTGGCACTATCACTACGCTACCATTTCCCCCTACCCAAAGCTTATGGACTGGGAGCAATCTGAAATTTGGCCTCAAGCCTCAATTTCGTCTGGGCAAATGACTGAAATCTATTATTGTAGCTTTGGTATTTCTTCCCAAAATTTCTGTCTATATTCCATAAAATACTTGTTAAAACCTACTTCTTTGGCCAACAGCTTTATGCATCTCTGTGCCAGATTTTATGGCCACAAAGAGGCCCACACCTTCCTGCTGATCCTGTAATATACCAGGTGCGTAGTTTGGCACCAAAATCAGACTGCAGCGGTTCAAAAGGCAGCTGATCATCACCTCCTTGGGGCAACCAGGGACGGACAGCCCCAGCCAGCAACACCCACATCCTACAAGTGAATAAAAGACCACCCAGCATATTTAAAGACTAAACCTAGTGGCCCAATTAATAAGCTACCCATGCTAAAATAGAGTTGACATGGACAGGATTGGGGGGAGCATTTTTAATGGTCTACATGAGGAAAGGTCGGAAAGAAAAAGGCTGCACACAATTCAGGGTGCCCTCTGTACATGGGTCAACCCTCCCCACTTCTTCCTGCACTTCCTGTTGACAGAATCCAGCTCACAACCCAGCTCCCTAAGGTCTAGAATCCCTACCTGCCCTGATATGTTAGAACTTACCTTTCCCTGGCAGCCATGGTGAACTTCTGGCTCCTTCCTGTGGTCTTAGCAGTACATTTTACTGAGTGCTGGCTTGCTGGAAAAGAATGCAACTGCAACCCAATCAGATCAAGAAGTGAGAACCAACGGCAGGAATTCCAAATACTTTTAAGCAATCAACCCGGCAGCAAGGTTATGGCTGCAGGCAGGCTTTCTTGGCATGAGTCGGCTTCTGTACTTCTGTGGGGTTGAACAATCAGTCCTCATGTCCCTTAAAATGCAGTGTCAAAATAAAATCCATTGCTATGTTGATAGTCTACCTATTGTATCTTAAGTTGTTTTCCTTCCTTGAAAATATAAACTTATATAAATGCAAAATGTTATTGCTGGGTGTGAAATATTCAGGCTAATTATGTAGAACAGACATCATGATTGGGCAAATAACAGTCTATTGACACAGCAGTTTTGATTAAACTGAGTAATCTTTCTAATTCCACATTTATTTCAGTAAAACAAGTATTTTTGGCATGTTTTCAATGGCAACTTTTAATGCTGTTTGATTCTTGATCTGCAGGATCTTTGGCTTCCCAGTACATTACACAGATGTGTCAAATATGGGACGAGGAGCCCGACAAAAACTTCTTGGAAGGTCATGGAGTGTGCCTGTTATTCGCCACCTATTTGCACCACTGAAGGATTACTTTGCCTGTGAATGATACAGTACAGTATGATACCTTTCAGGAATATAAAGGTGCTTTTACAGAGAATGATCAGTCATAAAACAAATTCAGACTAGTTTTAACATATTAGTATACTGTGACGCAAGAAATTTGAAAGGCATTATTGTGAAGGTTGCATGCTGTACATTTATGATACTGTGGCCATTATTCACAGTCACAACTCAGGACAGGGTAGGTATCAAACACACCTACCACAGTTGTTTTAGCTTTTGTAATCTCATCTTTTATACAAAGAAAAGACAGAATTCCTACTTTTAGCTGTGGTTTTATTACTGTAGTGTGAAGATTATACTTCACAGTTTTCTAGTGTACTTTGTAGTCACTCATTTTATGGGATTTTAAGGGCTTTGAAGTCTTAATGGTGCTATTGTCTACCTTTTAGATTTACAACTTACTTCCTAAAACCTAAAATAGTATTTTATTGTCATATAATACATACCTGTAGCTGGATTTTGGTAGATGAATAGTAAATCATGAAACGATTGTCATAAAAATAAACATAGTGTAGTTAAAAACCATTTTTCAAAAATGTTGAAGTTGATGTTCTCTTTAAACAGTATTTTAGTATATAGTTACTTACATTTCAGACAAGTGTATTTTCTTTCTGTAACCTTTTTATGTACGTAGTCAGTGAATAATCATGATATAATGTTTAATTTTTTAATGTTTTGTACTTTAGCAAGGGCTGCAAATGTGTAAATGAGCAAAAAAAATATAAAGATGGAAAACTGTATAAGTTTAAATCAAAGCAGTTGAAATATGGAGGATGTCCAAAGCTATGGTGAAACTTCTTATCACAACTATTCTTACTCAGTCAAACTTACAGTCTGACAGACAGTTCATATGTTTTGTTGGTAATGTGATATTCTTCTTCCTGCTCCATATGTATCTTTAAAAACGTTTGGAGCTATAAAAGGACTGTGATCATACTAAGATTGTAGTAATGTCATGCTTAAGCATTCTTTTTAAATTCAATGACAGCAAGTAAAATACAATGTTACATTTTATATTTTCAACTCAATACCTTATCTATTGTTTTACTGTGTATGCTCAGAATTGTCCGAGGGACTTGCTCTCTTGCTTCAGACAAAACTGTTATTGAGACATCTCATAAGATTTTTAGCCTGCAATTTCTTTCTTCCTCTGGTTGAGAAGCATCACCGCTTTGCTCCAAACTTCCTACCAACAATATGCCAAAGTAAATAACTCACAATGTGAGGTATCACAGCTGGTAATGTGAATCTTGTCATTCTAATCCAGCACAACCATATATTATTAAATTGCAAAGGCAAGCCGATTTAGTATCTTCTTAAGCAATATAACATTGGTCTTTTACTGACTTCAACTGGGACATTTGTTCTGAATTTTTTTCCTTCTTTCTATGCATTTCTGGTGACATTTTGTGCTTCACATAGTGAGATGTGAGTGTTGGAAACTGGATCATTTTCCAATTTAGGAACCCAGGACCAACTTGGAACATTTCCAAGTTAGTCACAGATTTAAGGCTTTCTTAGGTTATGTCCAGAAGATCCATTTCCCTGGAAAATGTCTCTCTTATTCCCAACAATCAGTATTAATCTCAACATTAAAACACACTTCTGCTATCACCAGTGTAAAATTGTCACTTCTCAATCTCTATTTGTAAGGTTTCAAAATCTAATACCAATTTAATACCTAAGCATGGGAGACTTTGTGCTGTGGATTCTAATATCATCACAAAATGCTTTATTCATAGATTTTGAAAGAAAAATCAGCAACTTTGTTTTGTATGATGATTTTGACTGGGATTAAACTTTGGATGTAAAATGGTCAAATTTAAAATCAGCTAAGTAAGTAGCACAGATATTTAACATGTAATTTAAACCAGATTGTAATTCAGTTCCATTAAATTTTACAGTTCACTTTTACAAACATCTAACAACTGCCACAACATTTAGTAAATGAAAATCCCTCTTATTAAATGATAATCTGCGTTTAATACAAATAATTATTATGTGCACATTCTCCCTACTGTATTTATTACAACTGATGAGAAAAATAACTGACCTCTCTAAAGAACTACAATAAAAAGTATGTTATGTTCTCATTACAGTTACAAAAATAGGTGCTGAAAGAACTCTATAGCTCCCTGAAAATTCTACTGAATTTATCCTGGGAGAACCTTAGCCATGCAGACTTGCAGCTCCCCAATTACATCCTTTGTATTGAATTAGTTTTCCTGACTACAATACAGTGACTCATGCATATGTTGCAAGTTGAATGAGGGCAGGATCAGGCTCAACTTTGATCCCCACCTCAATGCATGGCAATTTAGCCTGCCAGTATTCATTGCTGAGCCTTACTTTGACAAGGTACTATGGAATCATACCTCAGAAAGAAATTACTAATACATACAAGACAGGGAGACAATTAGCAAGGGTAAAATAAACAAATTTTTAAAATTCAGTGTGGACACTGCTGGTTCTGTTAACTTTGAATACTGGATTTTAACCTTTTAGAATAATCACATAAAATGATTTCTTTTCTAGAATATGATTACATTTGTGTTAGCAAAAGGTACATACAGGGATTTCTGTGTTGAACAGCATCCATTGAGGTTTTCTTTCTTCCCGTTAGCAAACCTTTGCAGCAACCAAAACAAAATGGAGCTAAGAACAGCTAATTTATGGTGTCAGTGATACGCAGCAAGGATAACTAGAAATAAGATCATAGCCTGGCCTGAACTATGTTCAAATAACAGTATTGAGTTAGTTTTTAATAGCTGATATGTTACAGTTAGGCACAAGATTCCAGGATTAAGGAGAAGAAAGTCAGCCAGAGTTCTGTTCTTGACTTGTTTTAGAAAAACACATATATATTGAGTAAGAACAGGACTCAGATTAGCTGTGAAGGAAAATAGTTCTCTGACTATTTAGGTTAACTTTAAACAGCAATATCTTAACTCCAGTGAAATAATATGCTTATTTAAATTAAAGTACTTCTTTTTAGTGGAATTCATTTTAAACTGAATATTCTATATTTTTTAAAATGTATTCTTGGTAAGGATCATTTAAATTCTTTAAATTCCACTTAAAAAGTATTAATATAATGTTCAAGGAATTGTTGAGATGGTGTTAATCGATCTTGTGTGTTAATTTCTTGATAATTTTGACTACCCTGTTCCAGTTAGTCAAAGGCCATGAATAGTATTTATAATCTGCAAAGCACATCTTAAAATTGTATCGACAATGCACAGATAACTAAATGAAACCTGTACTAATGGCCTATAAGACTAGCAATGTTTATTTTCTAACCACATCTTACTAGACAGTTTATAATTCTTTCAGCAAGGTATTTATCTTATTCAGAAGCCCAAATTTTAAGTCTTTATTGTTTTTCCTTTTTATGGAATTAATAACATCAATCACAAAGTTGATAATCAGGTTAGGCAAAATTAAACACAAAGCATTGGCCTGTGAAGAACCATCACCACTAAATTACAGCTCAATTCTGAATACTGTTTTGAGTTCTCTCTTTGTGGAATCTAGAAGCACTATTGCATTGTGACAAACACTTGAATACTTCCATTACATTTTTTAGTGATTCTAATTAGCATCTATTAAAAAAAATTTAGATGGAAAAACGTGACAGTTAAAGAGATGTAGAAATACTGTGACTGCATATTTTAAAACAGTCCACCGTAGTTTTCTTAATATTGATGAAAAATAAGATTACCTGTTTTTGGCAACTCCTAAGCTGACAATGTGTGCATTTTAAACCGTAAACTACGCAAAAATATCAGTGGAACTAATTCCGCTGTACTTGAACTCATCTCTCCATTCTTTGTTGATTTAAAGTCAACACTGTTTACAACATATAAAATGTATAATATGGTGCAGCTACTGTACATGGAATCATTTGTTTCATAGTTTGTTTCAAAATGAGCCATCCTACAAAAAAAACTGTAGTGATGACCCACATGAGAACACTTCAAAATTGTGATTACTTTATGTAAAAACCGTAATAGTTTTTGTTTTAAACGTATACAAAATGTTTCCATTGTGAAAATGTGACAGTATGAAAATTTTGTTTTGGCATGCATCCCTATCATTTTTAATATATGGTAAAAAGGATTTAACTGTATCCCCTGTATGTGAGATTAAGAGGTACAAATTGTAGCACTGCTTGTCTGTTTACAATAAATAATTTTCCTCCCTTTGTTATGTCTCCTTTTTAACATTAAGTTGTTTGAAATGGTTAACATTTGAAAAGGCAAAAACACACAAATTGCTACAACATATTGTATGACTTATTTTGGGGATGATGGGTTTATCTTATGAAGAAAGATAGAACAGATTAATTGTTCATTATATGAATACATTCATAAAATGAAAAATGAGGGAGCTGTTGTGGTGCAGTGGTAGTATTCCTACCTTTGAGCCAGAACGCCCAAGTTCAAGTCCCACCTGCCCCAGAGCTGTGTCATAACATCTCTGAACAGGTTGATGGGAAAACAGAGGAGAAGAATGAGATGTGATGTAATTGAAATATCAGATCTTTAGGGGTCTGGATGGAATTTTGGGAGGATGTTTTTTCTTACGAGGAATGCTAAGAATAAGGGACATGAATTAGGAATAAAATGTCTATTTTTCAAGACAGATGAATTATTTTTCGGATACTATCCTTCATGAACTTCCTTGATTTAATTCCTGTAATATTAATTTAGATAATCGCAAAACCTATGCCTTTTGATTGCAATGCATTCAGCATGCCAACTTCATGCTGCCTGCTCATTTTGATGGTTTCTGCCTACATAATCCAGTTTGGGACTTCTGACTTCAATCTCATTCTATACATTGTGAAAATAATTTCAACACTTAATTCTGCTTTCCGTATCCCTCCCCAAATCCTCTCTTATACTACAGGTTGATCAATGTCTTTCACTTTCATTTTAGATGCTGAGAATATGGAAAATCCTCAGCCTAGGGATGATGCAGTGCTACGTGATTTGATGTCTTAATTGGCAAATGCAGGCAAAATGCAAACTTTACATGCTTGAATAGGAGATGACTGTGCACGGTGATGCACTGGGCATAAACACAGTTGAAACCAAGACCAGGGTTGGGATATCACGTCTCTTACTTCCTCAGAAGGCAGTTGAACTTTGCCTCTATTTGTGAAGGTAGAGATACAAACTTTAGATCAACGAAGATGGCTGAAAATACCTGGAGCAGGGGCAGACAGGTTGGAAGCTTGTGTATAATGGAGTTCAGTTCCAGTCTAGTGCAAGGGTTTGCATGAGCATAGCCTGACTGGTTATGCCCCTCAATATCACATTGTTCCTCAGGACCCTTTCTATTTTACTCTGAAAGCATCCAGAACAGCACAGATGGTGTCCTGTAATTACTAATAGCCTTCATCTCATTTATGGCTTCCAGAATGTTACACTACTATTTCGCTGGAAACTAGCTTTGGCTTGGTGGACAGGGCCTACTGTCTGCTATTGAAGTGGCAGCTTTTGATTTAGTGAATGGCCTTCCTAGCAGCATACAGCTCGTGACACTCCATATAGCCCACAGCCGCCATACCTCAACATTCCTTAATGAAGGCTTAGCAGCAATCCGTTTTGGATATTGTTGGGGGGGACGACTTACCGGGGTAAGCCAATGGGGTACAGGTCTCTGGCACGGAGTCTGTCCCTGTTGCTCAGAAGGGAAGGGGATAGAAGAGGAGAGCATTGGTCATTGGGGACTCCATAGTTAGGGGGACAGATAGGAGATTCTGTGGGAACGAGAGAGACTCGCGGTTGGTGTGTTGCCTCCCAGGTGCCAGGGTCCGTGATGCCTCGGATTGTGTTTTCGGGATCCTTGAGGGGGAGCAGCCCCAAGTCGTGGTCCACACAGGCACCAACGACATAGGTAGGAAAAGGGATGGGGATGTAAGGCAGAAATTCAAGGAGCTAGGGTGGAAGCTTAGAGCTAGAACAAACAGAGTTGTTATCTCTGGTTTGTTACCCGTGCCACGTGCTAGAGAGGCGAGGAATAGGGAGAGAGAGCAGTTGAACACGTGGCTACAGGGATGGTGCAGGAGGGAGGAATTCAGATACCTGGATAATTGGGGTTCATTCTGGGGTAGGATGGTCTACACCTGAACCAGAGGGGTACCAATATCCTGGGAGGGAGATTTGCTAATGCTCTTTGGGAGGGTTTAAACTAATTCAGCAGGGGGATGGGAACCTGAATTGTAGCTCCAGTGTACAGGAGGTTGAGAGTAGTGAGGTCATGAATAAGGTTTCAAGGTTGCAGGAGTGTACCGGCAGGCAGGAAGGTGGTTTGAAGTGTGTCTATTTCAACACCAGGAGCATCCGGAATAAGGTGAGTGAACTTGCAGCATGGGTTGTTACCTGGGACTTCGATGTTGTGGCCATTTCAGAGACATGGATAGAGCAGGAACAGGAATGGTTGTTGCAGGTTCCGGGGTTTAGATGTTTCAGTAAGATCAGGGAAGGTGGTAAAAGAGGGGGAGGTGTGGCATTGTTAGTCAAGGACAGTATTACGGTGGCAGAAAGGACGTTTGATGAGGACTCGTCTACGGAGGTAGTATGGGCTGAGGTTAGAAACAGGAAAGGAGAGGTCACCCTGTTGGGCGTTTTCTGTAGGCCTCTGAAAAGTTCCAGAGATGTAGAGGAAAGGATTGCAAAGATGATTCTGGATAGGAGCGAAAGTAACAGGGTAGTTGTTATGGGGGACTTTAACTTTCCAAATATTGACTGGAAACGCTATAGTTCAAGTACTTTAGATGGGTCAGTTTTTGTCCAATGTGTGCAGGAGGGTTTCCTGACACAGTATGTAGATAGGCCAACAAGAGGCGAGGCCACACTGGATTTGGTACTGGGTAATGAACCAGGCCAGGTGTTAGATTTGGAGGTAGGTGAGCACTTTGGTGATAGTGACCACAATTCGGTTACATTTACTTTAGCGATGGAAAGGGAGAGGTATATACCGCAGAGTAAGAGTTTTGCTGGGGGAAAGGCAATTATGAGGCGATTAGGCAAGATTTGGGATGCATAGGATGGAGAAGGAAACTGCAGGGGCTGGGCACAATTGAAATGTGGAGCTTGTTCAAGGAACAGCTACTGCGTGTCCTTGATAAGTATGTACCTGTCAGGCAGGGAGGAAGTGGTCGAGCGAGGGAACCGTGGTTTACTAAAGAAGTTGAATCTCTTGTCAAGAGGAAGAAGGAGGCTTATGTAAAGATGAGGCGTGAAGGCTCAGTTAGGGCGCTTGAGAGTTACAAGTTAGCCAGGAAGGACCTAAAGAGAGAGCTAAGAAGAGCCAGGAGGGGACATGAGAAGTCTTTAGCAGGTAGGATCAAGGAAAACCCTAAAGCTTTCTATAGGTATGTCAGGAATAAAAGAATGACTAGAATAAGATTAGGGCCAGTCAAGGACAGTAGTGGGAAGTTGTGCATGGAGTCCGAAGAGATAGGAGAGGCGCTAAATGAATATTTTTCGTCAGTATTCACACAGGAAAAAGACAATGTTGTCGAGGAGAATACTGAGATACAGGCTATTAGACTAGACGGGATTAAGGTTCATAAGGAGGAGGTGTTAGCAATTCTGGAAAGTGTGAAAATAAATAAGTCCCCTGGGCCGGATGGGATCTATCCTAGGATTCTCTGGAAAGCTAGGGAGGAGATTGCAGAGCCTTTGGCTTTGATCTTTATGTCGTCATTGTCTACAGGAATAGTGCCAGAAGACTGGAGGATAGCAAATGTTGTCCCCTTGTTCAAGAAGGGGAGTAGGGACAACCCTGGTAATTATAGACCAGTGAGCCTTACTTCGGTTGTGGGTAAAGTGTTGGAAAGGATTATAAGAGATAGGATTTATAATCATCTAGAAAGGAATAATTTGATTAGGGATAGTCAACATGGTTTTGTGAAGGGTAGGTCATGCCTCACAAACCTTATTGAGTTCTTTGAGAAGGTGACCAAACAGGTGGATGAGGGTAAAGCGGTTGATGTGGTGTATATGGATTTCAGTAATGCGTTTGATAAGGTTCCCCACGGTAGGCTATTGCAGAAAATACAGAGGCATGGGATTGAGGGTGATTTAGCGGTTTGGATCAGAAATTGGCTAGCTGTAAGAAGACAGAGGGTGGTGGTTGATGGGAAATGTTCATCCTGGAGTTCAGTTACTAGTGGTGTACCGCAAGCATCTGTTTTGGGGCCACTGCTGTTTGTCATTTTTATACATGATCTGGATGAGGGCGTAGAAGGACGGGTTAGTAAATTTGCAGTTGACACTAAAGTCAGTGGAGTTGTGGATAGTGCGGAAGGATATTGCAGGTTACAGAGGGACATAGATAAGCTGCAGAGCTGGGCTGAGAGGTGGCAAATGGAGTTTAATGCGGAAAAGCGTGAGGTGATTCACTTTGGAAGGAGTAACAGGAATACAGAGTACTGGGCTAATGGTAAGATTCTTGGTAGTGTGGATGAGCAGAGAGATCTCGGTGTCCATGTGCATCGATCCCTGATAGTTGACACCCAGGTTGATAGGGTTGTTAAGAAGGTGTACGGTGTGTTAGGTTTTATTGGTAGAGGGATTGAGTTTCGGAGCCATGAGGTCATGTTGCAGCTGTACAAAACTCTGGTGCGGCCGCACTTGGAGTATTGCGTACAGTTCTGGTCACTGCATTATAGGAAGGATGTGGAAGCATTGGAAAGGGTGCAGAGGAGATTTACCAGGATGTTGCCTGGTATGGAGGGAAGGTCTTATGAGGAAAGGCTGAAGGACTTGAGGCTGTTTTCGTTAGAGAGAAGAAGGTTAAGAGGTGACTTAATAGAGACATACAAGTTGATCAGAGGATTAGATAGGGTGGACAGCGAGAGCCTTTTTCCTCGGATGGTGATGGCTAGCATGAGGGGACATAGCTTTAAATTGAGGGGTGAGAGATATAGGACAGATGTCAGAGGTAGGTTCTTTACTCAGAGAGTAGTAAGGGCATGGAAAGCCCTGCCTGCAACAGTAGTAGACTCGCCAACTTTAATGGCATTTAAATGGTCATTGGATAAACATATGGATGATAATGGAATAGTGTAGGTTAGATGGGCTTCAGATTGGTTTCACAGGTCGGCGCAACATCGAGGGCCGAAGTGCTTGTACTGCGCTGTAATGTTCTATGTTCTATCCACCCCTCAAACTAGAGGGACTGGGATAGC